TTTTATTTTATGTGTATGAGTGTACTGTCTGCATGTATGTGAGTGCACCCGTGTCGTGCAATGCTGCAGAGGTCAGAAGAGGGCTTTGGATTCCCCTGGAACTGGAGTTAAGGACGGTTCGTAGCCACCATGTGGGTGCTGGGAATCGAACCTGGGTCCTCTCGAAGAGCAGTCAGTGCTCCCAACTGCTGAGCCATCTCTCCAGCCCCCAAGCTCCTTTTTATTACCCCCTTTGTCTTTCTGATTTAACTGTATATGATAGCATGTGAGGCCTGTGTTTATAGCAGTGAGTGTGTGTGCGTGTGTGTCTTCATTTCTGTTCCTGTTGCTATGATAAAATACTCTGATGAAAACAGTTCAAAGCAGAAAGAGTTTATTATGGCTCACATATCACATACACATAACAGTGGGACGAGCTTCAGATAGCAGGTCACATCGCACCCACAATCAGGAAACAGAAATGGGTGCTGTGCTCAGCTCTCTTCTTCCATTCTATACAGCCCAGCATCCCCTCCTCAGGAAATGATTCCATCCATGATTAAGATGGGTCTTCTCCCCTTCAATTAATAGTTACCATGATAACCTCCCACAGGCATGCCCAGAGGCCCATCACCCAGACGATTCTAGATTCTATCATTTGGACGACACCACACTAGAATGCCCTTAAACTTCTGATCCATCTACTACCTCTTCCTGAGTGCTAGGATTACAGGCCTGCACCACACGTCCTGTCTGTGTGCTGTTGGAGGGTCTTGTGCATGCTAGGCGAACGCTCTGCCCTGCTGAGCTCCATCTGCAGCCCTGCAAGCCATTCTTTAAAAGTATTTTCTTTTGAGACAGCTCTCACTCTGTAGGCCAAGCTGTCTTAGAACTCACTGTGTACCTCAGGCTGTCCTCAAATTCACAGTGATCCTCCTGCCTTACACTCCAGAGTGTTAGAATTGTAGGTATGAACAACCATGCCCAGCTAAAAACCACCTTTGTAGACATTCACCATCCTAACTAGTTAAGCCCCAACCTTTTGTTCAAAATGTGCCTGTCATTACTTTTAGACACTTTCTTTCCATCTGGCTATCATCCGAACCTTTCCAGTTTTCAGAGAAGACCGTGTAAACAAACTGACTGTTAAACAGGCTTCTTGTTTCCGGTGGAAATCCATTTTCTTATTTGCTCTAATAGATCATCGCTGTTTTGAGAAAATGTGAAAATCTGATGGTTATTGAAATTAGACTATATCTGAGTTATCAGCATGTGTCCTTCAGGTTTTATAGACACTCTTCCTGCTTCCTTCTCTTCCTCTCATCCCCTCCTGCCCCCAACCCTTGTTTACCCCTCCCCAGTCCCTCCCGGTCAGCCTCTTTCTTCCTTCCCCTCCTCCCTTCCTTGAAATAATTTCCTAAGTGCTGATGGATTCTGGGACTTGGATGGCTGGGGTTCTGAGGCCACACCTGCCTTCCTTTGAACGTCAGATGGTTAAAGCCTCGGATCTCGCCATGCCAGGCCGTGAGAAGTCTAAGCCAGCTGCAGCTCATCACTGCCTGATCACACAGAAATCGCTTCAGTGGCCTGAAAGTTTGTTTTCTAGCTAAAAACACCTCTGATAAACTCCAGTGAGAAAGCCCTTCCAGAGTCTGTCTGGGATGTAGGGTCAAGGCAAAGGCAGGCTGTGCTTACTGACGGGTTCACTGATAACTCTATTTACTGTGGAGTTGAAATGTGTTCTTGAGACATATGTGTGCTCAATTTCCAGATAGAAAATTATCTGCTCCGGAATCATGAGACTAGAAAATACCTTCAGGAACAAGCCTACCGCCTCCAGCAGGGCATCGTCACCAGCACCACCCAGCAGGTAAGGGGCCAGCAGCTCCCTCTTGAGCAGCTGAGCCTTGCAGAACAGCGGGACCTTGGCAACTGGAAGTGGTTCCCGTGGAACAACAGCAACTGACTTGAGAAAAATCACAGCAGATGTAAAGGAGAGCTTGAGGGAGGATGTAGCGAGAAGAGACGATGCATTAAGATGAAGGCTGAAGAAGAAACCCACAGAAATGAGATCCTAAAGTTTAAGACCTGAAAGAAAGGTCTTAAAAATTGCTACTTTGCAGTAAGCGTCTCTGAGGTTTGGGATGTGTCTTTCTCTATGGGGAACATAGCTATAATTTTGTAACTAAGATTTAGAGGGTTTAAAGTTTTAGTAATGATTTAGACAACGAGGAAACATAATTGCTGTTGCATTACTAGATGTAAGTGTTGACAACTGTAAGTTGAAAAGTGGTAAAACTGAGCAGGGCATGGCGACCACATCTTCAATCCCAGGACTTGGAAGACAGAGGTAGGTGGATCTCTGTGAGTTCAAGGCCAGCTGGGACTACAAGGAGACTGTGTCTCACAAAGACCAAAACAAAAGTGCCAAAACTCTAGAGAGAGGTTGAAGAAGCTGATTGGTAGTAGAAATATGGTAAGGTTTTAGTTTATAGTTCATGGAATCAGCTGTTTTCATAATTAATTTATAAAAAATATAAGGAAAAATTTGCCGGTGGAAAATCAGTGTTTATCTCTGCAGAAACCAGCAGGGATTTTTTTTGTTTTTCTGTCACTGGTCATCTGTCGTCTCAGAGTGTGTGGCGCGAGTGGACTTGTCTTCCCATGCAGATGTTGTATGTGTGTATGTGTGTCTGTGGTGTGCATGTGCGTGCATGACGCCAGAAGAGGGCGTCAGATTCCCTGGAAGCCGGAGTTACAGATGGTTCTGAGTTGCCTGGCACGGGTGCGGCCCTCTTCACCACTGAGGTATTTCTCCAGCCCTGGTTTTGGTGTTTAGCATTAAAAGCAACAAGATTGCTGATCCCTTACATCAAACCTTTGCCTTGTTTGTTTTCCTTAATGAGATACCAAAACACAGGCTTCTTTCCAACCTCTTTCTGAGAGGGGGATTC